TGAAAAACATGGTGGCTACAAGACAGGGAAATTAAAACTCAAGCGACCTGAGCAGCTCCAGGTAAGGTAGTGAATCTGGCCAGGAGGAGCAGTGCTATGAGAGAGAGAGAGGGTATGGCATTGGGAGTCTTGATAAAAGACTGGGATCAAAAGGTAACTGTCTAGGACTTGGCCTTCTGCATGGATACCTTATTTCCTCTAGGAGGTGCTGGATATCACAAGGCTGTTGTTGGCTGAACTGGAGAAAGAACCAGGTGGTGAGATCGAAGAGAAGACTGGAAAACTAGAGCAGCTGAAGTCCGTATTGGAGATGTGAGAAAGGGGATAGCAAAAGGGAGCCAATAACAGTGAGAGTTGGGGTGCTGGAACAGAAAATAAACTGTGACTTTATCCTGCAGGTATGGTCACTTCTCAGGTATAAACCGGAAGGTACAATTGACTTACTACCCTCATGGAGTAAAAGCGTCTAATGAGGGGCAAGGTAAGATGTAGTCCCCCTTACCATTACCTCTCAGATCTTGTGTTCTTTTTATTTTTTTTTGTCTATCTTCTCTCCCCACCAGATGTCTTTTACTTGAGCCTGTAGATGACCTATACCTCAAATTACCTCTCTGGCCTCTTCAGAAGACCTAACATTTAGATGTTCCCACTACTTTTCTTAGATCTAGACCATTCACTGCCGCTTATTCCCTCAGATCCACAGAGTGAGGCTCTGGCCCCATCCCTGTTGCTGGTGCTGAAGTGGAAAGGAGAACTGACTCTAGCTGGCCCTGTTCAGACTGAGAAGCTGGGGCGAGCTTTTCGCTGCATGTACCCTGGAGGACAGGGTGAGTGTTTTGGGGAGTAAACACAACAGGGCCGGGATAAAAATGATTAGAGAGTAAGTTGGGGAAAATGAAGTGACAGAGACAGTGGGGAAATGAATATTTTTTCTTCCGTGAGTATTTATAGCAGTCCATTCCTGGTCCCCCGCTTTGTCCCCAGGTGACTATGCTGGCTTCCCTGGTTGTGGACTGCTTCGTCTCCATAGCACTTTCCGCCACGACCTCAAGATCTATGCCTCTGATGAGGGTCGTGTTCAGATGACTGCTGCTGCCTTCGCCAAGGTGCATACTACAGTTCTATAGTCCCAGTTTCCATTAGGTAGAGAAGCAGAGTTTGGAGAACCAGTTGGAGCATTTCAGGGTGCTTGTAGGCCAACTCAGAAGTTTCTGCATGTATTGGACCCATTTTGTACTACTGAGAATGAGCTGAGAATAATCAGTGATTGTAGGCCCCATCTCTTCAACCAGGTCCCATTCGATCCCTGGGACCATCTAGGCCTAGGGATACTAACCTGCTAACCTGCAAGGGAAACAAATAGACCTTGTGCTTTCTCTTTAGGGCCTTCTGGCTGTAGAAGAGGAGCTGACACTCATTTTAGTGTAAATGGTGAAGAGTGCCAACATGAATGGGCTACTGGACAGCGATGGGGATTCCTTGAGCAGCTGCCAGCACCGGGTGAAGGCTCAGCTGCACCATATTTTACAGCAGGATGCGCCCTTTGGCCCTGAGGACTACGACCAGGTCAGGCACTAAAATAACCTGGATCCCCAATTCCTAGAATTCTAAATAGTAGGGATCAATAATAACAGTATTTACTGCATGCTAGGCACTGTTTTAGTTGGTTTACACATATTGTTTAGTCCTTACAGCAACCCTTTGAGATAAGTACAGGTCTACAATCTCTTGTCCATAATTTTGAAAATTAAAAAGATTTTTTTCTTGACACTAAGATTCATTTGGCAGCCAAACCTGACACGAACTGTCGTAAGACTTTTATACTCCTTAGTTTTCCCACTTTATAGTCATGCATTTTGTGGCAGAAATATTAATGTGTTTGGTTATGCCATAGGCCCTGTTGGAGGTATTATATACATATGGCATATATACTGTATTCAGTTCTAAACTCCCACACATTCTCAATTCCAAAGCACAGCTCTGATCCCAAGGACCCTGAACTAAAGAATGTTTCAGTTATCCATTGTTGCATAATAAACTACCCCAAAACATAGTAACCTAAAACAACAACCATTTTATTATCTGTCACAGTTCCGGGCCCATCTGATCTTGCTTGGAGTCTCTCCTGAAATTGCGTCAGATATTGACTGGAGCTGGAACCATCTGGAATTCAGCTGGGATTGTGGGATGGCTGGCTCTCTCCCTCTGCATGCTCTCCCAGTAATCTCAGTGCCTCTCCTCTCCACTTGGTTCTTCATATGGTTTCTGTAGCATGATAGCTGGATGTATTAAATGGTAGCAGTAGGGATATTCAAAAGCAGAAGCTTAGAAACTTTCTTAAAGTGTAGGCTCAGAATTAGCACAACATAACTTTGTTATTTTTTATTGGTTAAGCAGTCACCGGGCCAGCTAGATTTAAGGGAAGGGAAGGAAGACAAAGAATTGATGGTGATCTTTAAAGCACTATGAGGACTGCAGACCACAAGGACTTTCTTCCCATTTTACAGATGAGGAAACCTAGGCTCAGAAGAATCTAAGCAATTTTCCCCATATCATCCAGCTAATACAAACCCAAGGAGTCTAACTCCAAAGCCCAGGCTGTTACAATGCTTTATAGTGTTAATTCCACTATATGCCATTACCCAATATGGTCATTCTTTTTCCTGCATATCTAGGCCACAATTTACCAGGCAGTGGTTTTCTACTCTTCCCACTCCTCACTTCTGATATGTTATTTTTTTAAAAAGTTTAAAAATGTAAAATTGTGGTACCACTTTAACCATTTTTAAGTGTACAGTTCAGTAGCATTACATGAATTTACATTGTTGTGTAACATTTCTGATTGGTTCTTAAATGAGCTAAGTAAGCACATTGCTATGATTCCATGGCATTTTCTGTGTTCTCTGAGTAGGACTTGATAAGGAAGAGGATGTTGCTCCTTTATTTCCCAATCCATTGCTCACTGTCAAACTCAAAAAAGCTAAGGCAGCTTTCCTTTTCTGCCTTGCCTTCTTTTGCAAGCAAGAATGAAACTTGTGAGGATCTGAATAGAATTGTGCATTTTCAGCCACAATCTTGATTCTCCCTCTCCATTTCTCATTGACTGTTACTGTCCTAAAAGCCTGAGTCGGAACCCAGTTCTGAGGCAGCATTTCTACTCTAGGCTCAGGCTGGCATCTTGTTTAGAGGAAGAAGATGATGTTATCTCTGATCTCTACTCATGAAAACATTCTGTGGAGATTTTGAGGGATTTTGGTTTAATCCTTATTCTCCAGTATTTTCCATGTGTATTCTAGAGCCTTCAAGAAAATAACTTAGGTCTGTTTTATTTTCTCTGGACTCTAAGACTCTTAAAATCAATCCCTCTTAGATGACTATATGCTAGAGCAGTGCCCTTACCTGAAGGCCTAGAGCTGCTACTATGCCCAGTAACCTAAGAATGCTCACTGGAGTGAACCAGCATACAGATCTGTATTGTGGGTAGTCTCTGTGTAAGAAGCTCACAGGAATCTGGGCAATTAGTGCTGAGCTTATCTTGCTTTTCTTGTCTCAATTCTTCATAGCTGGCTCCCACCAGAAGTATTTCCCTGCTCAACTCCATGACTATCATCCAGAATCCTGTGAAGGTCTGTGATCAGGTATTTGCCCTGATCGAAAACCTCACCCACCAGATCCGGGAACGAATGCAGGACCCCAGGTCTGTAGGTGGGTGTGAATACTACTATCTTCCCTTCAAGGTCTCAGGTATGGATGGGTTTCTCAGGCATTCTTGTGTCATCTGCTAAATGTCAGAGACCAGGCCGCCTCCTCCCTCTGGTTCTACTTCAGAGTCATCAGGGTCTTTGGTTGGAGGTAAAATCTTTGATTCTTGTCTGATTTCTGCCTTTCTTCCAGACCTGCAGCTCTACCACAGTGAGACACTAGAGCTAATGCTACAGCGTTGGAGCAAGCTGGAGCGTGACTTTCGACAGAAGAGTGGGCGCTATGATATCAGTAAGATCCCTGACATCTATGACTGTGTCAAGTATGATGTGCAGCACAATGGGAGTCTGGGACTTCAAGGCACAGCCGAGTTGCTCCGTCTCTCTAAGGCAATGGCTGATGTGGTCATTCCCCAGGTGTGTCTTGTATAAGGGACCTAGCCTGGGGATGAGGGTGTTGGGAAGGAAAGAGAGAAAAGGTGGAAAGGAAGAATGATTTGGGACTAGAGGAAAGCCACTTAGAGAAGGAATAAGTTGAGTTTCTACATTTCTCAGGGTCCAGTCTGGCTCTTGGTAAGTACAGGAGGCTAATTCAGGAGACACCTGGAAGAGGGGGAGTGTAGTGGATATGAAAGAAGCCCTAGACGTGAGGTGAAGACAGGCATGATCTTGGTCCTGGGAATATGAGGCATGAGAAAACAAGATTTATTGAGGTATTTATTCCTGGCCTGTGGCCCCTAGGAGTACGGGATCAGCCAGGAGGAGAAACTGGAAATTGCTGTGGGCTTCTGTCTTCCACTGTTGCGGAAGATACTGCTTGACCTGCAGAGAACCCACGAGGATGAGTCTGTCAACAAGCTGCATCCCCTGTGAGGGAGGGCTGGGAGGGGTGTTGGATGGAGGGAGGGGCATGTCAGGGAGTCTTGTGGGAATCAAGGCTGGGACAGCCTGGGGAAGCAAGAATAGACAAGATTTTGGGATGGAAAGGAGAGAAGTCTTTGAGGTGGGAGAAGAGAGTTTGCAGAAGGGTGGAAGGAGGATTAACTGACTGTGTGAGTGATTTAGCTGTTATCTCAGGTACTCCCGAGGCGTGCTCTCCCCAGGTCGCCACGTTCGAACGCGTCTCTATTTCACCAGTGAGAGCCACGTCCACTCCCTACTCAGTGTCTTCCGTTATGGAGGACTTCTTGATGTAAGGATCCTCCTTCTTCTTTAGCCTGTGAATAGATTTTTCCCAGCATTCTTTCACTCTTCTCCTCATGCTTTTTAAATGAAAGCTTTCTCCCTTCTCATTAGCTCCCTGCTCATTCCCTGACTCCCTTTTCCTTAAGCAATGGCTTACCTCTTTTTGCATTTGGTAGGAGACCCAGGATGCACAATGGCAGCGAGCTTTGGATTATCTTAGTGCCATCTCAGAGCTTAACTATATGACCCAGATTGTCATCATGCTTTATGAGGACAACACACAGGTGAGGAGCCAGCAGGTGGGGGATGAGAGGAAGGCCCCTTCTTTTGACTTCTATTAAAAAAAATAACTCACTTATCCTTATAATTTGGAGAATCCAGCTAGGTGTGGCACTTAGGCACAGCATGACACAGAGCATCCAGGAGGTTCTTACTGGAACAGAAAATATGTTCTGGGATGTTGCTGAGCCAGAGAGATCACCTAGAACACAGCTCTGGCATTAGGAAGAGTATGGAATTTGGGACAATGTTATAAGTCTTATTTCCTTAAACATGGTTATACATATACCTTCTGCATATGGCTCCACAATGATACTTTTTTTTTTTTTTTTTGAGACAAGGTCTCACTCTGTCACCCAGGCTGGAGTACGGGGCTGCAATCTGAGCTCACTGCAGCCTTGTAACCTCTGCCTCCTGGGCTCAAGTGATCCTCTCACATCAACCTCCCGAGTAGCTGGGATGACAGACATGTGCCACCATGCCTGGCTAATTTTTTGTATTTTTTGTGGAGATAGGGTCTCAACATGTCGCCCAGGCTGGTCTTGAACTCATGGACTCAAGTAATCTGCCTGCTCCAGTCTCCCAAGTGCTAGGATTACAGGTGTGAGCCACTGCTCCCGGCCCAGAAGATACCTTTAAATGTGCTATATGCACCATAGCCAAACTGAGTTATTGTGGAAGGTGATGGGAAGGGTTGTAAAGCTGGAAATTCAAAAGTCACGTGCAATGGCGAAATCACAAATGGTAGAGATGAGGGAATGAGGATCCTGTAAGAGACAATATATAGTTGAAAGGAAGCTATAACAGGTCAGCCCCGGAGTGGGACAAGACCCTGAATTCCTAGGAGGATGAATCCTCTTGAGTTCCTCTCTACTTCCACCACAATATCCAGCTTCTCCCAACTTCCCCCTCTTGTGGTGATGCCCCATAGGATCCCTTATCAGAGGAACGGTTCCATGTGGAGCTACACTTCAGCCCTGGAGTGAAAGGTGGTGAGGAAGAAGGCAGTGCCCCAACTGGCTGTGGATTCCGTCCAGCCTCTTCTGAGGTGGGTCAGAGTGCTGGGATTTGGGACTGAAGGAACCAAGTGGTGGGAAACGATACAGGGAGAAGTAAAAGGGTTGGGTAGTCTGGGATTAGGAGCTTGGAGGCCATTAACACCTCTCTTATCTGTCTTGTTTTGTATAGAATGAGGAAATGAAAACCAACCAAGGCAGTATGGAGAACCTGTGTCCAGGAAAGGCATCAGATGAGCCAGACCGGGCATTGCAGACTTCACCCCAGCCTCCTGAGGGCCCTGGCCTCCCGAGGAGATCACCCCTCATTCGTAACCGAAAAGCTGGTTCCATGGAGGTAATGAGAGGTCCTTGGGAAAAAAATGAAGGGGTGGCAGTACTCATAGGACTATATCCACAGATCCTCTAGGTCCCCTTGGGGGTACTCTTGGGACTTGAAGCAGAGTCCTTCCGCTCTGATTGATGTTTTACTTAATCTCTCTTTCAAGCTGGTCTCTCAATAGAGCTTCTTTAACCTGGTTGCTACTTCTCAGATTAAAGAGTTGCCACTGAGGGGTGCCTGAGAGATAAGGGTTTAAAGAGAAAAGATTAAGGAGGAGGGCTCTGGATGAATTTGAAAAGGTGTTCTTTAAAAGGAAATCTAGTAGAAACATCTTGAACTCTGGGCTAAAATCCCAGTCTGATACTTGGAAGCTGTGTGACTCGCTGGGTAACTTCTCTACACTTCTCTGGCCTTAACTTCTCTAAGCCTCAATTTTTTTTTACCTCTAAAATGTGAGTAGTATCCACCGTATAGATGCTCAACAGACAGTAATATAGTAACAATACAATTGATATTTAAGGTCCGGCCCTCTCCAGCTCTTGGTCACCTTGGGTAAAAATTATAGCTCAGATAGGAACAAATACCTGGCACTTTTTCTGTACTGTCGTTCCAGAAAGTGGGTCAGCCAAGAGCTTTGTCTGTCTTCCTCTTGTTCTGATGAAGATCTTTATCAGCATGGGCCTGTATTCTGCTATTCTTGAAGTTTGTCTTAGTTCTGGTTCTAGTTCTTTAGCCTAAAGGAAGTAAGTGTTATTAATTTCACATTATGCCCAGCTAACCATCTGAGCTTTTTGTTTTGGTCTTTTTCCTGGAAAAACTGTTTCTGTCTTTGGCCCAATTATATCCCCCCCGCCTTTTTTTTCCTATCTAGCTCCTTCTGTATCACTTACATTCATTTTGACACCACAATTTATCCCTGTCCCAGAGACTTTGACTGTCTGATTTAGATTCTGCTCTGTCCTGATGACTCTGTTCACCTGGCTCAGTGCCAGGTCTCTATCTTAGAGGAATTGGTTTTTCCATTTTAGGGATCTATCAGAAGAATCCATAATGAGCTGACCTAGGTTCAGCAAAAGGTTTGCAATTCAGATTTTGGAGAAAGCTGAGAAGACGAACTGCAGTCTCTTCTTTTGATTCATCCTTTACTTCCTGATTATTTTAAGGTGAAATTGACATTGGTAATATGCAGAGTTTCTTTAGGTAGGATATACATTATTTTCTCTTTGAGTTTAAGTTGGTATCCGTAGTACTCTATTACCCTTTATACTCACATGCAGTAGATCACATGGATAGAATGACACATAATCTTCCATCAATAAACTGCTCCTCCAAATGTCTTTCCTATTCACATGGTCTGCTAGCCTCTCCTGGTGCTGTTGTGCTTGAACCACGCCCCCCGCCCCCCACCACCATTTTCTTCTGGTTTATGCAGTCATAAGACATAGGCAGCTGGGTGTGGTGAATCACACCTGTAATCCAAACACTTTGGGAGGCCTAAGTGGGAGAATCATTTGAGGCCAGGAGTTCAAAACCAGCCTGGGCAACAGGGCAAGATCCTGTCTCTACAAAAAAAAAATTTTAATTAAAAAATTAAAAAAAAAAAAGACACAGGCAAAGGAAAGCTCTCTGTGTATCATCTCTCAGACTTGATAAGATTGACTTCTTTCTTTCAGGCCTACAGGAAGCTTCCTATTGTAATCACATTCCTTCTTTTCAATTACTAGTGCTGCTTAGACCCTGGCTTATCCAGGGTGATGGTTGTCCAGGATATTTTCCTCAGCTTTGCAAGGAAATCATCTCTCTGCTCCTTGGTCACAGAGCCTTATAATACAAATATTAATGTTTATCTTCCTTGCTCTATAAATATAGGCATACAACTTGTCCTTCCCTCCATCCCTTCTTCTCCTCTTGTCATCTCATACTTTTTAACTATTTTAGATTATAAAACTTATGACCTTCATAGCAGCTATGCTCTAGCTGGTCATCCTCTCTAGCCCTGTAACTAGCTCTGCCCTATGGGCACTGGGACTTTTGGGATCCTGGGGTTTAAAGGAGCCGTGACCGGCTTTCCACCCGGTCTGATTGCAGGTCATGAACATGCAGTGCACGGGGAACCTGGACCTCATCCCCTTGCGGGGACGACGCCGCAGGAGGTCAGGAGACCTCCCCCGGCCTTCCCCAGCCATCAGCCTACAGCCCCGGGCTGTGTCCACCACTCACCTGGCATCCTGCACACAGGTGTCCCTCCCTACCTCACCTTCCTGTTTTACCTTCTGTCTTTGCCTTTTGGGATCTAGGGACTCAGACACTATCTAGGTGGGATGTGTGTGTATTGGGGGTTGTGTGATTGGGCCCTTGTGGGCATTGTAAGAATTCTGTTTCATGTTTCTAGGGGTGAGATAGTTGGAGGGGAGGGCTGCTTGGTTCGAACAAGAAATGTAGTATGGTTGCCGTAGCCACAGCTGTCCCATGGAAAGAAGAGAGGGTGGCCAGACTTTCTTATTTGTGGCTGAGCCATTGTGATTGGCTTTCTGAGTCTTGTAGGGGGATGGATACGTTTAGGAAACCGCTCTGCTGAGAACTAGGAATGGGTTGAATAATGATTTCTCAAACTCAGATTGGGAATGGGAGGGCTCTGGGGAAAGGGATGTTGAAAATAGAAGTGGCTTCTAGTATAGAAAGATGCCCCAGACAGTTCCCTCCATAAAGTGCATTTTCTCTTCCCTTTTCATCCCTCTTCTCCTATAAATCCTTTGGTTCTTCCAAACTTTCTAACATTGCTTGGCTTTGTAGGGTCAGGAATTCAGGACCTGGGTTTTATGCTTTTGGGTGGAGGTGGCAAAATGATTAATTATAGAGTCCTTTTTCTGCAGGTACTTTCTGAGACTTCATCCTCAAGGCCTGGTGGCTACCGGCTCTTTTCATCTTCACGGCCACCCACAGAAATGAAGCAGAGTGGCTTAGGTATGGCTTCGCCAGCATTTCTCACCTATTGTTGGAAAAGTTGTCTGTCTGTTCTTCAGAGTTTTATTGTGGGAAACTTTTGTCATGGGGTTTGGAACCATCCAGTCAGCGGAATATCATCAGGTAGGGGTAGGGAGGATGAAGTGGGAGAAGCCATAGTTAGATGTGAACTTGGATCTCAGATGATTATTCCATCCCAGAAAGGTGTTTATCTCTTGGTTTTCTATACCAATCACATTTCCCTGGCCAAAGGGCATTTTTCTGGCTTTCCCTCTCATTCCTTATCTGTCCCTCCAGTCTAGCCCAGACCTTAAGGGGCCATGGAGACTCTGAGCCTTCAGAGTTATCAGAGACAGAGCTATAAATAGAGGTACTTGCAACCCTCATAAATGTCGTATTCCTCATTTGAAGAATTGTGCCATGTCTTCCTCTGAAACCTGTGTTTTTTACATCCCCACTCTTGCCCTTCCTACCACCTTGCCCTTTCCTCCATCATCTCCTAATCCTGTAACTTTTTCCCCTTCCTTCTGGAAAATTGACAAGTCTGAGACTGGTGTAGTGGCAGAGGCATCTCTCAGGTCTTTGAGGAAATGTCTCTTGATTTTTGGATCCCTGGAAAGGGGTAGAGAACATCATTCAACTTTTTGTGAGAGCACAGACGGCAGGAAGGACCAAGTCTCAGAGGGTATTGTATTCTTTGGGTGGGGGGCGGTCCTTGGGAGGAACTATCTCTGAGCACAGTGCCTTGTGAGCCAGTAACTAGAACTGGAGGTCAGACATGATTGTGTGGGGTCTGGACTTGGTCCCCTTGCTCTTTCTATCTTGTCCTATCATCCTATTTAGCACCTCTAATTTTTCTGTTGCTT